TGAGACAACAAACTGGGATGAGAGTTTTGGACAGAACAGTGAGAAGGACATTAAGTAAAAACAACTTGAGGTGAGAATTTATTTTTACAAAAACTTAATGCTAAACCGTTTTTGTCTATTATCGACCCGGTATAATGTCTAAATTTCAACTCTCAAATAAAATACTTAGACCATGGAAAATATACGTGAAACAAGGATTCCAAATCCGCAAAAATCATCAAGAACCCTCAAACCAATGTCAAGTTATACCATTTTAAAAATTTTGCTATCCAAATTTTATGTTTAGTAGTGTGTATAAGACCTATGGGCCTTAATCCAAAAACTGACAAAAATATCTAGAGATATTGATATTACCTTAGTAGCGAACCATTTTGCAACGACCAAAAAATTTTTTTGCAAAAATTTCACTCATACAAACGTTTTGGTTTTTTTCATAACTTCATTGATCACCCAGTATATAATAAACCTATGGTTTTACGATAAAGATACGTCATGCAACTTAATCCGAAAAAAACTAGCTCTTAAAATCTGCAAACTGTGTTCAAAAATTTGCATTCCTGTTAAAAATATTGAACTTTAGATTTTGCCTAAAAATCTCTGTGTAAGTTCCATTGACCAGCAGTTTAGACAATTTTTTTTGCTTGTGGCGTAAATTCTGTAGAATACAGACATCGAAATAAAAAGAACGAAGCATATGCAGTAGTACTAAAGAAATACAAAGAACCAGTGGCTTAACTATGGGGGGATAAGGGGATAGAACCCACCAGAATCCTAAAAAAAATGGCAAAAAACAAGAAACTTGAGTTAGTCCTGTAATGTTTAAATTCTATTATCCCTCAACTTTCGTCTCGCCTATCTATTGTGACAATTTACCTTCATTTTAGTGAAAAAAAAAAAAAAAAAAAAACTAAAAGACTTGTAATAAATATTAAATCTAGCCATATTTTTCTAAAATACATTCATGCAAACTTTCGTGTATTACCCGGTATTGTGTGCTATTTGATGTGATCCATCCCCCCAAAGCCAAGTCCAAGCCACTGCAAAGAACATAGACAATGATAATTGATTCATTTTTTGTAAAATTCATTATTACTAAAAGAATTATCGCGATCAGTAAAAATAACTTCTGATATATTAATAATCTGACACTTCTTTAAGACCCAGCCTACTTGACAATGTTCACTTTCGATAAAATTACTATAGACCGTCAGATAGTGACAGGTTTAATTTTTTTTTGACAATACCAGTAACTAATGTTACCGGAGAGAAGTCGTTTTCAACACTACGTAGAGTCAAGAACTATTTAAGAAATAGTTTATCTGATTCAAAGACCAGCAATTTAGCTTTATTGTGCATTGAGAGTGAACTTGTTGACTCTGTAAATCAGTGGTCTCCAACCTGTCGATTGCGAGCTACCGGTAGCTCCCGGAGGCAATTCTGGTAGCTCTCACAACGATTTTAATTTAAAAAATACAAACTGCAAAAATCAAAGAAGCTTTCGAAAATTCCACAAAAAAATCTAATTGTCATAATATTAAACATAAACAGCGGCAACGTTGCGGTGAGCGATCTGCCGCTGACGCCATCAAGCTAGAATCGGCTAGAACCGACCAGCCGGACCAGCGCGTTATTGTTCGAGAACGATTAGGATTGCTTTGAACGGGATAAATACGCACGGCGCGGCGACATTGCGCTTAGTTTAAAACTGAACGCGTAACCAACGTCCAGCGGTTGGGTTAGTAGAGAACAACAAAAAATATTATTATGGCAAGCAGTTGTAAAAGGTAAAGACATACCACTTTCATCCGGAATGGGAAGAACAATACTTTTTTACAGAAGTTAAAGATAAAAATGTGTGTTTGTTATGTAATACTTCGGTCTCCGTTGCTAAAAAAGGAAATATTGAGAGACATCATAAAACTGTACATTCCAATTTTGAAAAATCATTCCCACTACATTCTGCCGCCAGAAAGGAGAAACTGAAACAGTTAAAAAAGCAGTTAATTGGACAACAATCAATATTTTTAAGAACAGTCGACAAAAATAAGGCTGCAACTGAAGCATCGTACCGTGTGTTCCAGATAATTGCACAAAAAAAGAAACCTTATGAAGACGGGGAAATAATAAAACAGGCGTTTTTAGAAGCTGCTGATTCGTTATTTGCCAACTTTAGAAATAAAGACGAGATAGTTTCAGCTATAAAATCTATGCAACTTTCTGCTAATACAGTGATGAGAGATGAGACGTGTAGAAGTAATGAGCAATGATATTTTTTTACAGTTAAGAACGGACTTAGATAACTGTGTTTATTTTTCACTTCAACTGGATGAATCAACAGATGTCGTTGACACTGCCTAGATGGCCGTGTTCGTCAGGATGGTTTTTAGTGATTTTAAGATTAAAGAAGATCTTTTGAAGTTTATTCCACTGAAAGGACACACTACTGGACAGGAGTTGTTTTCTCATTTAAAAAATAGGTATTATTTCTTTCGAGAAAATTCCAATATCGAAAATGGTAGGCTTAACAACCGATGGCGCTCCAGCTATGGTGGGTTGTGATAAGGGTTTGGTGGCGTTATGTGGTAAAGATGAAACTTTTCCGCAATTTCTCTGTTACCACTGTATTATCCATCAGCAAGCATTATGTGGAAATTTTCTGAAACTAAACAACGTGTTATAAAACTGGTGGTAAAAATTGTGAACAAGATTAGAGCTCAAGCGTTACAAAGAAGATTATTCAAAACCTTGGCCGATAAAGTTGACTGTCAATACGGGGACCTACTCCTTCATTCTGAAGTCTGATGGTTAAGTAGAGGACGGGTGCTGAAACGTTTTAATGATGTCCTATCTGGCATTTTTCAAACAACGCGATGAACCGACTCCGGAACTAGAAAATTCAATCTGGCTTAGAGATTTTGGTGTTCTCGTGGACATTACAGAGAAATTAAACGAACTTAATTTGCAGCTTCAGGGGAGAGACAAAGAACTAGCGGAAATGATTTCTGATATAAAAGTATTTATTAAAAAGCTGGAGTTTTGGGAACAAAACCTAATTAACAGCGATGCCAAGCATTTTCCTATTCTTTCAGAACAAATATCTCAAAATCCCTTAGAACCCTATGACAGCAAATATCATGTAGAAATAGTTTCTACCTTGAAGAATAACTTCAAAAATCGTTTTAAGGATTTCAACGAAATGGCTTTAGTTGCGCAGTTTGTTGTTTCACCCTTTATGGAAATTGATATCCAACAGTTTCCAAATTGTGTTATGCAGAACTTTGGCGAAGACATCGCTGCAACAGAAATGGAAGTAATTGAGTTTCAAAACGATTTAGCCATAAAATCGTTAGTCTCAAGTACCAAATGTATCTGGCCTATTGTAAGTAAAGACAAATATTCAGTTCAATGCCGTGTTGCCTTGAAAGTGAAAGGATTATTCAGTTCAACTTATTTGTGTGAATCTTCTTTTTCCAATATGAAGTTTATTAAGAACAAATATCGCAATCGACTTACAGATGAACATTTGGATAATTGTATTCGAATGGCTGTATCAAATTATACTGAAAATATTAAAAAAATTATCGATGAGTCTGAGTGTCAGCCTTCTCATTGAACGTGCTTTTTTATTTTTCAATGTTTATGTTCATGATAGTGCGTTACTTTTTTGTTGTTATTATTAACTATTTTTAAATTTTTTGTGACATGCCGTTGTGGCTGGATAAAAGTTTGTGTTTATTTTTCAAACACCTTCGTTTGGTAGGTAGGAATGTAGCAATGAACAAGTACGTACTAGTAATATTAGTTATTTTGTTATGAGTTTATTATTAGTACCTATGTATTATGTATTACCAGTTAAATAGTAAAATAAATAGATATAATGATAAATTAACTGTGGATTATTTCATTTACGTTGCGTTACGTGGCTTCCGTGTGGGTAGCTCGCTGTTTATTCCAAAATTAACAAAGTAGCTCAATACATTGAGAGGTTGGCGACCACTGCTGTAGATGAAAACGATATTATATCGCTTTTTATTTCAAGCAAATTAAGAAAGACACTTTAATAAAAAGGAAATGGGATTCGAAGTTTTTATTTTATTGATTTTTTATCTTGAAATGTTTGTTAATTTAGTTATTGTTGTGTTAATATTCTTTCAAAACAAATGCACTAAATAATTGTTTTCATCATGTTTATACCTTAATAATAGATTGAAAAATTAAATGTTGGGAAGGGGCGTTTTAAAATTTTTTGCCCGGGGCGCTTTGTTGCTTAATCTGGCCCTGTCTGCGTGTTTCTCTGTATACTCGATAACTTGTGAACGGATATAGATACAAACACCAAACTGAAGCTTTATTATGGCCTGCGGTGAACCGATATTTGAGAAAAAGTACAAATTTCGAATTTTGAAGATAACTGAAAAATGGAATGAGAGAAAAACACCAAATTTTGAATCTTTCGGTGAACTGATTAGACAGATAACTTTTTAAAAAATTGTAGTGTAGTGTTCCTTATTCGATTTTCCTTCATCAAGCAGTAAGCTGTGGTTAATTGTGTCAAAGGCCTTGGAAAGATCTCTAAAAAACACATATATCTGGTACGTTTTTCTTTTATCATTTCGAACATTTAAATTTTCAGTTTGATCATCATATGATTCGAAATAAAACATATCTGCGATTGGAAACATTATTATCAGTAACTGCAGTAACTCCTTCAGTTTTAATATTATTACTGATGGCTGATGCGCGTTGCTACTAATTAATCTGTATTGACAAAAAAATTACGAATTTTTGTCATTGCCTGACAATCATTGTTATCTGTCCAAAGTCCCGATATGTAATAAAAATAAAAGCAATTCGTTCTGAGAGAAAAATTACAAAGCCAAAATTTTTTTGTAGTCCTTTAATCTGGGCTTGAGCGAATTACGTAGATATAAGTCGAACAAATAGATAAAGTTAATAAGCCTTATCGTTGTTATCAGAATTCAGTATATACAGTCAGTGTATATACCTTCCACGGTTGGTTACGATTCGTTGGAGACATTTTTTTTTTGTATAGTTAATTATGAACTGTGTAAAGAGTTAGATATTTCTCGTGCGGTGTTGGTTTGTGGTATGGATGATCTGCTGGAATTAAACACTAACAGTAGTTGAACGAAGGTATAGGTTTAAATATTTGATTTTTAGTATCATAATGAAAGTATGCTCGTATTATCTTGACATCTGAAAATACGCATAAAATATTTTTCTATACCTATATGGATATTATTTATTCTACGGACAGACCAGAACGAAAAAGTAGGCCACCACGTTTTACTAAACGAATATATTTCATATCCGCTCTAGTAATAACTGTACAGTAATAGTTTACTATTATTTACTATTATTTTTTTTAAATTTTGAATAAATGATAATTCTATCAATCTAATTACTGTTAGTATATTTTTACTTTCCTATCTGTATACAGATATAAGGAAAGTATAGGAATCATGATTTTTTTCGACCTCGAGTTTTCGACGGATTTTTACGTTTTGAGGTCCCCTGAATCCGTTTTGACTATTTTCGCGATGATGTCTGTCTGTGTGTGTGTGTGTGTGTGTGTGTGTGTGTGTGTGTGTGTGTGTGTGTGTGTGTGTGTGTGTGTGTGTGTGTGTGTGTGTGTGTGTGTGTGTGTGTGTGTGTGTGTGTGTGTGTGTGTGTGTGTGTGTGTGTGTGTGTGTGTGTGTGTGTGTGTGTGTGTGTGTGTGTGTGTGTGTGTGTGTGTGTGTGTGTGTGTGTGTGTGTGTGTGTGTGTGTGTGTGTGTGTGTGTGTGTGTGTGTGTGTGTGTGTGTGTGTGTGTGTGTGTGTGTGTGTGTGTGTGTGTGTGTGTGTGTGTGTGTGTGTGTGTGTGTGTGTGTGTGTGTGTGTGTGTGTGTGTGTGTGTGTGTGTGTGTGTGTGTGTGTGTGTGTGTGTGTGTGTGTGTGTGTGTGTGTGTGTGTGTGTGTGTGTGTGTGTGTGTGTGTGTGTGTGTGTGTGTGTGTGTGTGTGTGTGTGTGTGTGTGTGTGTGTGTGTGTGTGTGTGTGTGTGTGTGTGTGTGTGTGTGTGTGTGTGTGTGTGTGTGTGTGTGTGTGTGTGTGTGTGTGTGTGTGTGTGTGTGTGTGTGTGTGTGTGTGTGTGTGTGTGTGTGTGTGTGTGTGTGTGTGTGTGTGTGTGTGTGTGTGTGTGTGTGTGTGTGTGTGTGTGTGTGTGTGTGTGTGTGTGTGTGTGTGTGTGTGTGTGTGTGTGTGTGTGTGTGTGTGTGTGTGTGTGTGTGTGTGTGTGTGTGTGTGTGTGTGTGTGTGTGTGTGTGTGTGTGTGTGTGTGTGTGTGTGTGTGTGTGTGTGTGTGTGTGTGTGTGTGTGTGTGTGTGTGTGTGTGTGTGTGTGTGTGTGTGTGTGTGTGTGTGTGTGTGTGTGTGTGTGTGTGTGTGTGTGTGTGTGTGTGTGTGTGTGTGTGTGTGTGTGTGTGTGTGTGTGTGTGTGTGTGTGTGTGTGTGTGTGTGTGTGTGTGTGTGTGTGTGTGTGTGTGTGTGTGTGTGTGTGTGTGTGTGTGTGTGTGTGTGTGTGTGTGTGTGTGTGTGTGTGTGTGTGTGTGTGTGTGTGTGTGTGTGTGTGTGTGTGTGTGTGTGTGTGTGTGTGTGTGTGTGTGTGTGTGTCTGTGTGTGTGTCTGTGTGTCGCATAACTCATGAACCGATACACATAAAAACACCAAATTTAATAAACTTAAGCTTTGTTCCAGTGCCCAATGTGCTGATTAGATTTTGGGCAGTGTCGGAACATCTGGGGGGGTACTTTATAGGTGGTCATTTTTATATTTTATGGAATATATCTGTTATTTACGTTTGGGGAAGAAAATTTGTCAAATAAAAGTTACTTCTTATATTATTGTCTAAAATTTTTGTTCTATACAAAATTTTTCTAAAATGGTCCGTATTCGAGAAATTTGACAAAATGTAAAAAAAATATTTTTTTATAAAAATTGTTCAAACAAAAGTTGTTTGTAATATAATTCTCTATAATTTTTGTGCTTTACATAATTTCTCTAAAATGGACCGTATTCGAGATATTTGAGAAAATGTGTAAATTTCGAAATTTGAAGAAAACGGATAAAGAAAAAACATTAAATTTTAAACTTAAGTTTTATTTCGGCTTGTCGTGAAATGATTAGATTTTGGAAAAATTCGGAACATCTGGGGGGGTACTTTATGGGGGGCCGTTTTGATATTTTATGGAATATATCTGTTATTTATGTTTGGAGAAAAAAATTAATCAAATAAAAGTTATTTCTAATATTATTATCTATAGTTTTTGTTTTATGTCAAAATTTCCTGAAATGGTCCGTATTCGAGAAATTTGACAAAATGTGCAAAATTCTGATTTTTATGAAAATTGTTGAAATAAAAGTTGTTTGCGATATCGATCTCTATAATTTTTGTTTATACATTATTTTTCTAAAATGGACCGTAATGGAAAAATTGTAGGAAAAGTGCTAAATTTAAATTTTTCAGTATTTTCATTACCAATGAATATCTATAGAAAAATGTTTCGAGGTAGATGTATGTGGAAAATGTATATATTTATTTTATCCTCTAAACATTTATGGAGGTGCTGCAATAGGTTGTACAAAATAACCGGAAGAAGCATGTAATAACTAGATAGGAAAGTTATGTGTTGGACACATCAGATTTTTTAGTTATTGAAATTAAATATATTTAAATGTGAGTGATTATTTTGAAGAATCCATAAATTAATAACAATATATTCGTCTATATTTACAAATAAATCGTAAATTTAGTATATAAAATAAAAATTAAGGTGTCTAGATAGAGCTGAGGTAGAGTACTGAGTTGCCATGCGAAAGGTTCGGGGTTAAAATTAGGGATTCAAGACTATAAAATAATTTTTTTTTCAAGTTTATTATAACGGGGTGTCCCAAATAAGAGTAATTGATTTTAAATGTAAATGCACAGCTTATTAATTGCTCTAAAGAGATGGGGTTTTCACTAGTTGATTTCGTTTATCCAAAAGTTTTTTCAAGTTTGTTCACATTTTATCACATCAATACAGGGTGATCCATTAATGTTGGTCAACTTGAATGGAAAAAATATGTATTATTTTAAATGGAACACCCTGTATATTTTGATGGCATTCAAAAAGAGAGATTCATCTACTTTTTAAAAATGTATAGTTTGATATCTTTTATTTTCATAACAACACAGATTTTCGAGTTTTTAAGTAACACTGCTGTTTTCTTTATTTAAAAACTGACATTAAATAAAATTAACAAAAATAATTTATTCAGTAACCAAACATAATAAAAATTTATTAAAAATTAGAAAGCAAACATTTATAATGAGGATGTAAAAGTTACAATAACTGATGTATATGTCTACCCTCTTGTTCAATGCACATACGCAAGCGAAATTTTAAATTTTCAAACGATTTTTCTAACATATCTGGCGGAATATTTTCGATAATGTTTCTAATGTTATCTTTTAGTTCTTCTACGTTGTTAGGCAACGTACAGTTCATCAAATTTCTAGAGGTGTTCGACGCCCAGACAGAGAACGCGCTACGTGTGACTGAGATAGCTATTGTACAGTCTGCTAAACAAGTTATTTTAAATAGTTTTTAATATTTTTAGGTAAATAAATTTTAAAAGTGTGGAATAGTTTAGGGATTAAATTGGTCTGATTGGACTTTCTTAGAACGTTTTTAAAAGCAGCTAAAGATAGTATGTAGAATTGAAAATAATTATTATGCCATAAAAGGTGTTTTGGAATTCCTTCAACCTTTTGAAATTGAGTCAGAAAATATAAATTTTATAGGATAGCGGAAAATACCTATAATTTTTTTGTAGGCCTTTGTAAATCGTGGAAATAGTTTATATTTTATTTCTACCTTATTAAGGAAAATGGTACCTATTATTAATAACGATTGTTTCTGAAACATTACTAAAATTTTCGAAATTTTGTTTTTCTACAAAATAATAAACTATACTATTTGGAAAAAAATTTATTTCTCTTATAATTTTATAAAAAATAACAGGGGAATATTTACATTTCTTGATCTATTAAACAAAACGATAAATTATCTCGACGAATGACACCATGTTCTAGTACGGAAGCTAGCTTTACATTTTTGTTGGTGGTTTCATGGGTTTCAAATCAATTTTTTGTAATTGTAGTTTACACGTACATATACCTCTTAACACTTGTTTGCTTTATTAAAAAAGTGTGTTGTGATTTACGTCGAAATAAGTCAAAAACAACTTGAAACCCCATATAAAATCAAAAAGGAGAAACGGAAAAAAATTGAGCCTGTAAATGAACACAACTCAGAAACAAAAATAGCTATCTAATAACAAAAAAATAAAATTTGATTCTTGTGCAGCTTCATCTATATCAATAACTGTTTTTGGTTTTTTAATGGTTTTTCTTGGTGATGAAAATTCCGATATCTCACGGTTATCGATTCTTTTTTTCTCTCCAGAAATGCGGACGACAGTGTTTTTAGATACTCCTGTGGCTGCAGCAACACGATCATTTACATTTTTAAATGGTATTGAAGGTGAATTAAAGTTTCCTTCTCTTCTCATAAACTCTATAACATTGGCTATTATTTCGCGAGATTGACTGTTAATCACGCGGCCTCTTAATTTGCTATTAAACTCCATACTTAGGTTCTATTAAACTGTAATGAGCAAAAAACACAAACGAAAATATAAAATGTTTTAGCGAAATTTATATCTGACATTTACGTCTGAATGAAATAGTGAAATACTTGATGCGCAGAGTGTACTTTCATTGCGTAAATCCGTCGGGATGCCTGTCAGTAGTGTTTTCTCTGTCTAGCCGTCGAAAGCCTCTAGAAATTTGATGAACTGGAGTGCGTTTAGAAACCCCGCACGGCGCGTCTGACCACATGCATTAGAATAGGGCTCAGACGCGTCGTGCGGGGTTTCTAAACGCACTCCTGTATTAGGTTCATTCCTGAATAAATCTAGTAAAGGCTCGCATACACTTAGTCGTTTTTCATAATCTGACGGATACAATTTTTGGTAGGTCTGAATTTAATATGGAGTCAATTCTAAAATTTTTAGACACCTTTGCACGTCACTTTTGGAAATGTCTAAAATT